GAAAAAATGGAGAAGTTACAGTTCTTTCAAAATGCAAATGTTAAGACTGGGTTTTACTGTAAAGAAGTCTCCTTCCAGTTGACTCATGATTTCACGTACACACAATGTGAGTTTCTTAGGATGATAAGGAATTAGTCTGCCATTGCCTTCCCTTGGAATGCTTGTTTCAACTTTGTAGTCTAGTCAACCACTCCAGGGTTTTCTGATGACCTCCCTTTCAAATACTAACCAGGTCCTACTCCACTTAACTTTCTAGATCAGCCAGATACTGTCATCTGCTGAGGCAAGTTCAACTCATCCTGTTGAAATGTGGATGAGAGTACTTGGAGACCATCAGGAATTCTCAGTGCTGCGGGCCAGACTGGGGAATAATAACAACCTGAAAAAAAGCAAGGGCAAGCCACTCCTGTAATAATCCTAAGGAAACTGATAGTTGTATCCATGAGGTCATTGAGAGTCTAACTCTGTTTGAGGGAGACAACCTTTACCTTCTTGCACTAAAATGTTATGAAGCCTGTTTGAGGAACAGTTGCCAGCCATAAAAGCTGGCAGTTTAATACTTGTTATATAAAAAAATACCAACATATGTGTGGGTGCAATGATTATGGAAAACAGAAGAAGTAGGGTTTTTTTTCCTTCTCAAACTTCCTTATTTTAGTGCAATGGAGACCTTTTTTTTTTTTTGCTGTCCAGTTATACAGTGGATGAGGCAAAACAACAGACCTCTTATTTTCATTGGGGTTTTCCTCCTCTTTCTACCAACTCTCTAATATATTGGGACTGTTGATTTTTCTCATTCATATGCCAACCCTCCCCCACTTCTTCTCCTCTCCCATAGGAAACTTGCTCTGACTAAGCCTTGTCTCAAATCCACCTTTGCTTTCTTGCTCCCTGACTTTTTCTCCATTTTTTAAAAATAATTTTTAAAGATTATAATTGCAATAGTAAAAACTAATACAAACTAAAGGAAAAAAAACAGATTAGAAAGAAAAGTGAGAATATAGTAAAAGAAAGAGAAAAGAAATATATGAAGAAGTGACTTCCAACCTTCATCACAACAAGTATAAACAATTTTAGTAACTTTTGACCTCTTAATTTACAACCAGTGATATCTTCATCCCATCCCAATCTCTTATCTATAAACAAGTCCATAAAGTGTTGTCATTTCAGTCCTGGAAAAGGTGTCAGCAAAAGTCCATTAAGGGTTGCCAGAAATAAGAATATATCTATTTTAACATTGATCAAATAAACCAACTTTACATTCTTTCCTATTACTTCTAACAATCTTGATCTTTAATCCATTCAAATAATGTTGCATTGCTTCATTTGCAAATCCTTTTTTATTTTGATATCGTCCCTTCAGAATACCACTCAGCGGAAGCTGGATTTGCTGAAAGCAGAATTCCTAGAAATAATAGCTTTAATTCATGAAGAAGAAAATGACTCTGTGAAGAAAATCATGTCAGAGGAAAAAAAAGCCCTAGATAAATATGAATATGTCCATACAGTCCTGGGTAAGAAGAAGAATGAAATCCAGAGGGAGAGAGACCAAATTGAAGTGACCTTGACAGAGATGGATGATATCACATTTTTAAAGGTAATTTTCAGTCAGGAGAAACCCTTTTCAGTTCACAATCTTCAGTTCAGATTAAAGGTTTTCCGTGTCTTTTTCTCCAATTAGGGAGGTACTTTCTCTAGTGAAAACTATCCTGACCTGCTTGTCCTACAGAAATATGGGTTGAACTCCCAGAATTCCCCATTGCTGAGAATTCAAAGAGTTGAAATCCATGCCAAAGTTGCACAAGGGACAGTTGTTCTAATGTCTTTAAACTAAAAATACAAGAGGTAAGCTGCCCCAGCTTAGCCTCCCCAGTCTGGTGCTCCCTGGATGTGTTGGACTTCACCTCCTAGAATTAACAAATTCTGACAATTAATAAAAGGGACATGCCTTTCCCAGCTTTGGGTCTGTTTAAAAAAAAGAAAATGCAGGATGTATGTTTGATCAATTAATAAATACTCCATAAAATAATGTGTCAAGCATTATGGAATGAAGTAGAGCTTTTTGTTGGTTGGAGTTCAGATAAACACAAGATCTTATGCTTTATTTCAGAAAGCAGCAAAACTGCGGCACCTCTCCTTCAAAGATGTATTTGTTCCCAGAATAGATGTGGATCAAAATATGTTATGTGCTGTTTATCAGAAAACCTTTAGCCTCAAAGAAAATACAAAACAGTTTTTGACTCAACCTCATGAAAAGAAAACAAAAGGTGCTTTTATTTATTGATGTACTTACTGTTTTTTCTTGTATTCACATGCATTTTTTGTGTATTTTTTCCAGGAATATTGCTAATCTATGAAAGTGTTAAAGACTAACTGGCTTTAATTAATACGGTTTGTGGGATAGTACAGCTAATCAATTGCTTATCATGGGGAACCATGTTTGCAAATGTACAGCGGACAAGATAGTTATGGTTCTTATTCCTGCAGCTTATAACTAAGTTGTTACCTTGAGTTGGAACTGGATCCCTTTTTGCTTTGGGGTGGGAGCACTTGGCTCATATCTTTTCATAAGGGCATGGGCTCTCAGATCCTCATGTGTCAAATGGGGAAAAGAATGGGGTGAGCACCCATACACTGGTGCAGTGCGATCCTGAAAAACACATTCTCGCACCATACCATCTTTACAGTGATCTATGAATGTCGCTCTGGAGCCCCCATGTAATTTTAGACGCTGTGTGCAAGTGTTAATTAGAGTAAAAGGTTTGGGCCAGGGCACCAACCAGTCCAATAGAGCAACCAGATCTTCCCCTCCCTCTGGGGTAGCAAAGAGTAGTAGCTACAGAGATGAAATTTGGAAATGGGACTGTTGTGTGCACTGCCATGAGCTGAGATCTAAACCTAACTAATGATCGTGTAAATAAAGCTTAGTTCTATTAAATAAGGGTTCTTTCTGAGAAAAGAAATGAAACAGATGTCAGCTGTTGCAGATGCAGGTGGGTGTGAATAAGGGTAAGTCGGGGTGGGGTGGGGGCTATTGAAAGTAGAGCTGAACATTTGCTCCAGAAGAATCGAGATGCTTTCTGGGATTGCATGGGAGATGTTGGAGGAAAGAGAAATTGACAAAAGTCATCATTCAGTCCCCTTTGTCTGAAGCGGAGCCTTTGGTGGACTGTTTCCTCTGTGGAGTCCTTGGGGTTCTCTGAGCTTGGTTCTTTTCTTGCAAACAAGGCTAGGTAACATCTTCGGTGCTAAAATGGGATGAGGTTTGCTCTCTGTTTATCTGCTGTGGCCTGCTCTGCCAGTGCTGGTGGGGGTGGGGGTTCTGTTTTGCTCTTCTGGTAGTTCATTGACTAGCATCTGTTGACTGCTTGATTGTGTGCCTGGTGGTGACCTTTGCTTATCTGGATGATGATTGCTGGAGATGATTGCTGGTGATTGAATGCTGGTGAGGCGATCTTCTGGTCTTTTGTCTCTTGAATAGGATGTAGATGCTGTTTCCTCTGTGCAAGATTAATCTGTCCCAGATTAAGTCAGAAGAATTCCAAAAGTTACCTGTAAATCAGCTTAAAGTATTGGAACAGGACAATTCCATGCTAAATGCAGGGCTACATCTGATACTACAAAATGCACTTCTGTACAACCCTGCCTTGATTTTTTGGTTTGCCTGTATTCTCTGCACAATGGCCACCCTAGTTATGCCCATTTGCCTTTTTCTTTCAGAAGGGCCACAGTGGAAGCCCAAATCAGAAATCCCATCACCCCAACCAAGAGAATTTACATCTAGTAAGTGAGAAAGAAAACATGTGACCTGTACTTGTCAGACTATCTTCACAGGAGCAAATATATTTCTCTGCGAGCATATTAAGTGGTATTATCGAAGCAAAGTTGTGCTGCCATGAGCCTGGACGCTTCTTTGGCCCTGCTATCTCTCATCACTTGCAGGTTTTCAGAGTCTTGCCAATGCTGTTTGTCCTGGGATGATGATAAAAGATAAAATGCAAGTGGGAAAGATGGGGATGGGAGAGAGATCCATTTGGAATACCGTATAAGGTGTGATACATCTAGTATTGTGCCATGCAGAGCAGAGAATTGTTTGGAATATACTTCTGATAACATTCAGGCACTGATTAGAGATATTATGCGGTGGGGTTGATAGGCCTTTTGGTGACCCGTGGCCTTATGCTGGTGGGAGGCTACAAGACAGAGCTTCCTATATTCTTCCGTGGACTGGTACATGGTAAGTAGCACTAAGTGGTAGGCATGCTTACCTTGTGAGGTTCCAAAGCCATTTGACTATTGAGGATGGAACTGTGCATTACATTTAATATGGAGATGACCTTTTTGGTGTTCTTTTACTTTAAGCATGTATGGCCCCAGTGGAAGCAAAATCATCTGGTAACCAGTGTCCATATGCTGTCTTCTGGGAGAAGCAAAACTCCTACTTTCTGCCATGTTTATGATCCTCTTGTTCCTGCATGTATGCTTTTCTAAAGAAGCTTTAAAGGAAGAGGATCCTTCAAAGGCGAGAGATTCTCTGTCAGGCCCTTCCTGGAGGTGTCACACGTGCTCCCAGGTTCAGCTTATGGTCACTCACTCATGCACAGACAGCTTGTTGAGATCTTGTAAGCTCCCCTAGCTTTCTACCTGGGCTTTCCAGATAGGGCATACTAGGGCATACAAGACACACAGCCCTGGCCAAGAGCAGGGAAGTAATTAGGAATACATGCAGTTCACTTTCAACTGAACACTGAAGCACGTCAGGTTCTTTTGGATACACAGAGACCCTATGAATTTAAAGTGGCAGCAGAATTTTACTGGTTACCATGTACATTTTTTCTCTCTCATACGCACAGCCATTTCCACATCCTTCTCAACTAGGCTGCCCGGCACTAGGTAGAGGGACGGAAGCCACCAAGTCTGAATCTAGGATGACTCAAAGAGTGGGTGGGCTTCAGGACCCCCTTTATCCCCAAAAGATCTTGCTTTGTTGATTCACAATTCTGGTAGCTGTGGGGGGATTTCCCCGCGCTCAGCACCCAGCCTTCTTCCTCTGCTTCTGGTGACATTTCTCCTTTGATCCTTGTTTCTTTCTTATCTATCTCCCCAGGGATCGCTTTGACAACATTCCTGGCTTTTGTTTTCTTTGTTTATGTGCCTGCTTTGTCTTTAGGTAAGGCCACTTTCAACATAGTCCCACTGAAGGCACCCAAGGCAGAAGAGGTTCAGCCAGCAGCTGTAGGAAACACTAGTGAGTACAGTGGTACCTCGGGATACGAACGCCTCTACTAACGAACTTTTCGGGTTACGACCAGCTCCAGCCGCAAAAATTTACCTCGATGTGCAAACTCCGCCTCGGGGTACGGTCATTTTTCCGCCCCTGACACGTGGTCCGAGGCCGTTTTCCCACCGCGCTGCGCGGTGCCCGGCCATTCTCCTGCCACGGCGCCCAGCCGTTCTCCTGCCGCACCGCACCTGGCCGTTCTCGCGCCGTGCTTGGCCATTCTCGCGTGGCGCCTGGCTGTTCTCCCGCCGCGCAGCGCCCGGCCATTCTCGTGTGGCGCCCAGCCGTTCTTGCGCGGCGCCTCACCCGGCCGTTC